AAAACTTGATGGGTTTTTAAATGAGGTCAAATAACGATTATTTCAAACTTGGACACACCAATATGATTTTGTGTTTGGGAGGGAGGGGAGGAAAGGGATGTTATGTCAGACCCATAAGATGTTTTAATTTATATTTATATTTCACTGATATATCTCTTGGGACAATATCATCGACATATGATTTTTCTTTATTATCATAATGATTATCTTATGTTAAATTAATACACATTATAAAGGTTGTTATTTTGTACCCCCAAATTAAACATTATTTATGCCTGTAGATCTGTGATGCTACATGTCAAACTTCTAAATTTTCCATTTTTTTAAACTTGGAACAAACCTTTATGGGAATTTGAACGGGGTAAAAATATTTCGAAAGTTTCGGCATACCAAAATGATGTGAGGGTGGTGGGTGGATCGTGACCGCCAGATCGTCATGCTATAGGTCAACATTCTAAATTTTCTTTTTTTTCCTAAACTTGGAACATAAACCTTTATGGGAATTAGAACAGGTCAAAATTATTTCGAAATTTTCGACATACCAACATGTAGTAGTGGGTGCGGGGTGGTTATGTTTTTAGGAGCAACCGCATTTCATAGCTTTTAAAATATTGTTTAATATGGACCAATTGATAATTTATCAGTTAAAAGAGATTATATTATTGTATTGTTTGTTAATTAATTAAATACTGATAGATGTAGTTAAAAATCATTTACAAATAAAATATTTCACCATCACTGTGGTTTGGATCTGATAGGGTGGGGGAACACTAGCCTTGTAATTTTGCTGTGAAATGTTGAACAAGCCGGCGGTAGATGAAAAACTGAGCTGCAGAATAAGCTTGTGAAATCAATGTTCAGGAAAGTGACGATTATCATGGAAGAAACATGATTCTTATTAATTTGAGATAACAATTTCACAGATAACAAGAATTTAGTTTTGGAGTATAGCACATTTAATGTAAAGAACGAGAGTTGTTTTAACTTGGATCCTTCCAGCTGCAAAGTGTTCCATTTTAATCCACCCGAACTAGGCATATCTCTATATCGGCCCCTCAGATGCCCCTCTGCCCAATTTGTTGCACTATTTCATGGCTGTTCTGATGAAGACATTGTTACATCTATTGCACGAAAAAACGTCGGGTTAATCAACGAAAATTAATGTAAGAGAGAAGTGGGGTTTTAACGTCCACTCACACGGATCAGGTCAGTTCATGACTAACGTGGTTTTGGTTATTCTCATTTGATCATAAGGTCTGTCATTTAAGTCAACTGCTGCGGTATCGATTTCCCGCTTGTGTATGACAAGGGGTAGGTTGCCTGTCCAACCTCATGGGTTTTCTACGGGTCATCCGGTTTCCTCCCACTGCTAAAAATCCATAAGCGCAAGCGAATTATTGAAATAAAATTGAACCATGTGTTTGTCTCGAAATTACCTAGTTTGTGTCAAGTGTACTGTTAAACCCCATTTCTCTCTTCCTACTGTTAAAGACCCTATGTGAACGCTCTAATGACAAAACTTATCATCCGATCTGTATGAAATTTTTATGCATTATTTAATTTAGTGAAATGAAGAATCCTATTGAATTTCAGCAATTTCTGTTAATTATGTCTAAGAGTTATGGCCCTTGATCACTTTGAAATATCTTGTGGATGCTCTAGACGAAGAAACCTATTGCTTTTCAATGATTTCGATAATTACTGCCAGAGTTATGGCCCTTGATCACTTTGAAAAATCGTGTGGATACTTTAGAGACCATAGTTATCATAATATATATATATATATATTATATATATATATATATATATATATAAATTGTTTCGATTGATCCACAGAGTTTAAGGTCTTGAGACGAACAAGTATATTGATTTTCAATGATTTTTGGTAACTTGAACAGCTAAATCCATGGTATTAAATGTTTTGTATACTAAATGTTAGCATGGGTCAAACAAATTCTAATGATTTACTTAATGAGTTAATTGTTACTCTTAATCAGATTTTAGTGTATTATAAATGTTTCATTACCAACAAAAGTAAAAATATGCGACAACTCATGTTGACTGCCCGGACGATTTAGATGCTGTGGCCGTATGTTTCGTTGCCTGGCAACCTACCTAGGCCTATATTACCTCTTTCCTATACGACAGAAAATATATACAAAAAGACTATATAACCATGTTATGATAAAATCAATCTAAATAGTATAAGAATAAAAGAATAAAATGAACAAAAAAAGGGGGGGGGGCCTATGTACATATTTACAATTTCAGGTTTGCCATATTCATATATTTAGCTACTGGATTCATTTTTATTTAAACCTTCCGGAGATGTCTAGAAATCTATGGACTTGTTCAAAGATAATACTTGAAATAATAATATCGTCAGTGCCTTTTAATAATGTCTGTATTGAAATCACGTTTTAGGGTAAGGTAAAAATTGAATGTTTACGTGCATCGCGATGTAGAGGACAGGTTTTAACCACGAGAGCACCATGCAGAAATTGAAAAAAACGATAACCCGGGGGGTCAGCAAATTTCAACCATACTTGGTCTATTGGGACCCCTAGACGACAGAAGTCACATGATGGAGTGAAAAAATTTTGAACTGACAACTTCCGGTATAACTGGAAATTGTTATTTTGGGGCAAAAGTTGACATATTTCGACCAATTTGTTACCCTAATTTCAAAACGCTCCTACCCGAAAAGTTGTGTCTCTAAATTTTTGATATTGGTCAGGTATGATAGGCCTAGTAGTCGTCTTAAAATCCTGCAGTCGTTTGGGAATGAATGAATCATGTGGAATTTTCTGTGAGTGATCATAAAGTGGTCATTTTACAAATGTTTAAAACTATGCTATCCTAAAACGCATGTAGCTGCTTCTGAAGGGCACTCCAGGATAATGTTGACAGCATGTGCCAAACTCCTACATATACCTACGTTCGAGCAGAAGTGCTCACTTACTTAGATTCCTACGTTCGAGTGTAAATGCTCTCTGACCTTCCTTCAAGGTTTTTGGACCACAGAGTACTGTTTTATTTTGTAGTACTGTTTTTGACCTCTTCTCCTTCAGGGATTTCAATATGGAATTATCATAGCCTCCCGATCTGTAATGCCTCTCTATGAAAACGTCCAAATGTTTCCATACAATGATCGGCTCCTAAACACAGATGGGAATAAGCTGGTCTGATTCCTAAAATATGTTTGACCAAAATAACCTATTTGGCACAAGGAACATTGGCAGAAAAGGTGTTGTATGGTCGTCTTGCTGATTGTGTGACTACGACTTACTGTCACTGGATCATCTACAATCCCCTCGTCCTTAAAACCTGTTACAAGTACATCCCTCAGGAACACTTCTTTTACCCAAGAGCTAAAATATGCTTACACTGAATCGTGTATCATATTTCACCTTTCATTATATCATATTTATAGAAGACGATTTGTTCTGTTTAAATTGCATTGGACATTCATGAAACTTGTCGCTGGTCTAACACTTAGACTTTAGATCCTAAGGTCTGTCATTGAGTTAAGTGGTGTGACAGCATGCCGGTGACATGGTGTGGTGTTGTTTGTTCAACCTCATGGATATTCTCTTTTCCCACAAGTGTATTATTGAAGTGAAATTGTACCATATGTTAGTCCCAAAATGACCTAGTTTGTGTTGAGTGGACCTTAAACTCCATTTCTCTCTCTTAAGTCAAAATCACCCTTGCTAACGAATATATTAACTTTGTGATGATGTCCATAGATACAGTATGCATCACCATATTATGCTCGTCCCAAAATGACCTAGTTTGTGTCCAGTGGACTTTAAATCTCATTTTACTTTGTTCCTCTCATGTCTAAATCATCCTTGCTAACGACTAAATGGAATGAAGACGGGCATACGCCAGAGTGCTATGAGGGAAATTTTGCCCGGGCAGCGGCACTATCGCCTACTCTTATATCGAATTCCAACTGCCAAGGGATCTTTTACGTGCATTCCAATGTATACACGAGACCTCGGTTTTTCGTCTCATCCGAAGGACTAGACAGCTGTCCTTGTCAGGCCCTCCGTTCTGCACCACTGACAAGGGGAAACCACATCGGAAAATCAGGATGAACTTTCTCGGCCAATGCAGGGATCGAACACCCGACCTCCAGGCTAGCGAGCCAGCGTCTTAACCACCTAGCCACCGTGGCCCCTTTAATGATTATAGCAGATTCTGTACTCAAATACATGTAATATAATTTGTTGAAGTCACTTGGTCAACTCGCAAACTATAATTAACAACCAATTTACTCTCTTGAAACTTTTTTGGTCATTAGCTGAATTTTAAATTCTAAAATTCAGTGTATAGCCTTATAACAACTTGAATTACGGTATATGTTAGTATTAACAAGAAACTGAAGAGAATGGCGCTGTCTTTTCACAGATTCGATTAAAGGCAAAAAGATAAGTATAATACTTTATCACTTCTTTACAATAATATTAAATTACATAAGATTTATGCGATTTTGTTATTTACTTAAAGATAGGTTCCCAGAAAAGTATTTATCAGGTGGTTATTTCCAATAAAAGTATGACAATTTTGGTATATATGGAAAGTAGAGGTATCCAATCTTACTAGAAAAATACTGGATTCCCCGAAAAATATTCATGAAGCGTATACAGGACAAAAATGTCAGGGTTCCTCATATCGACAGTCCGACGATTAGGAATGTCTGCTCGCGTGACGTCAGAGGTTACACGCGGAGATTGAGCCCTTGATGTACATGTTGATAAACTTTATGAAGAGTTAGACGTACAACACTTTCTGAGATAAAAATCACGGAAAAAGACGCAGGCAGTGGATAATCCGAGAATTTAATTAGGTTTTTATATTTGTAATAAATAGTCAGCGATTAAAGACAACATCGTCTTGTGTATGCAATGCATTTACTATTTTAGTGTATACGTGTAGTCAGTGCCGGACTGGGGCCACCTGTCCACCTGTCCACCTGTCCGTGACAGGTGGGCCTAAGCTCATTAAAAAAAAGTGGGCCTAAGCCTATAAACAAAAAAGAAAAAAGAGAAAGAAAGGAGAGGGGGGAGAAAAGAAAGAAAGAAGGAGCGGGCAGGACACAGGACTGGAGAAAGAAAAGATAGGAAAAAAATGACTGACAAACAACACAAAAAAAGAAGTGTACTAGAATTCTCAAATTCATCTAATGATAGTGCTCTTAGGTCATTCTGTTATCTAATTGTACCAGGAAATCAAAAATTTGCCTTCTTCTGCTTTGGTCTGAAATGCTTGGAAAATGGGTTTTCGGTTGACAATTTTCAAACCTTTTCTGGGAGAAGAAGCCACCCAGACCCCCCTCGGACGTTTTCGCGCCTTTGGCACGCTCGTGACGCGCCGTCGGTGCGTACTTGTGTGGGTCTTGGTCAATGACCTGACAGAGTCCAGCACTGCATGTAGTTAAGACCATGCCTTCCACTTTGGAATGGTGAATGACTCATGTCTTATGTGCCTTACTACTGGAATGACCCCTGTTAGCCCTGTACTGAAGTCAAAGGGCATTCCCGAACTTAGGGTACTTCCACTGAACTCAGTGGCATGTCTGGAATTTTATGCTTATTCTGATAGGCGACGGCCAAGGTTTGGATATCTTGAGAATTTTCACTTGGTTTCCGGCTCTGGGTACACCATATATTAAACCTTTCGATAGTTGGAGATTTCTGCAATGGTTTTGTGTAATATCATTAAGAATCGAATGATTTTTCAATGATCAATAAAGGATGGGCAGGGATGGATTTAATTTATTCTCTATGACATGAATGATACATTAAACCATGTAAAATAGACATGCGCATTCTTTTCTTTGTTTTGTAATCAATCGAATACCCACCAGAAATATTAGCCAATCACAGTGCAGGCTTGTATAGCGAACACATAGGTAGCTGATTCTTTACAGGTGATCTGAATTATGGAACGCCAAACTAACATAAAATCAATTCACTGCCAATGGGTCCCGTCAATTAAATGAATATTTGTAAATTTGTCGTTCCATACAGCTAGAGACGCCGATTCGAACAACCCAGTCGCCTGGTAACCGTGGTGAGTACTTTTCAGATACAAACTTAAGAAAGCAAACATCCCCCAACCGTCCTTCAATTTGAAATTGAGCGGCCAAGTGAAAGCATCTATTCACATTAGCCAAATATAGGATACGTCTCTCATCTCAAACAGGTTAGTAAACTTTTAATTTTCATTTTAAAATTTTATTCAGATAGGCTGGTATATTAACAAGTCCATAGAACAGTAGAACTTTAAACCCCCATTTAAACAGTCGATCAATATTTGTACGTGACAGAAGTAGGGTATGTCGAACCGAGTGGGTTTTCTCTTAGTCATTCGGTTTCTTTCCATTGGTAAAGACACGTACGTTCAGATAGGCTGGTATATTATTAACAAGTCGACAGAACAGTAGGACTTTAAACCCTCCATTTAAACAGTCGATTAATATTTTTACGTGACAGGAGTAGGGTATGTCCTTCGTTTTTTTCCATTGCTAAAGACACCTACGTACAATATACCACATGTTAGTCCCGAAATTACCTAGTTCGTGTTGAGTAGACGTTAAAATAGTGTCGTGTTTTATTTGCATTAAACTGGACCTACAAAATGGCGCAAAATTCTTCATTGTATTACCAATAGCATATGCGCAGTATGTTAGTCTCATAATTGTCTCTGGGTTTTTTTTATCAAGCAACAGTTTCTCAATGTAGAATTTGAATACCCGGAAAGGAATAGTGTGAGACGGCCTAGGTTTACAAACTATATGCATTGTTCATTATTAAAGGGGAAGTGTCAGCGTTCACCAGGTATACAAATCAAGGGACAAAATGTGAAGAATTTTCTGATTTATAGCCCACCTCACATGAATAATGAAAGTTTGTATTTCTTTGGCATAGCATCATAAAATTTTAGATTGTCGAATAGGCCAAGGTTAGAGTCTTTCACGCAGAGTTAACCAGTTTATTTACTTTCATATTTCTATTACATATTACAGACATATCTCCTGTTATCGGTCGGACGATGGCGGCGTGGTAGTTCTTCTTTGGGTAAGCTACCTTTTACTTTTAAATAAACGATCTTCACCATATTACAATATTTTCGTCAAACTACATAGAATAGTTTCCGTCCTATATCGGACTAATATGACCTATGAGACAGGGGTAGTCCAATGTTACGGACATATTCGTATGTGTAATCCTTCAACACCAATGAATTTGTCAATCGATGCGCATATTGATTTGAGTTTAGGAAAAAAGAGTTAACATTAATTTAATTCATGGTTTTTTTTTTATTTTCAGATTGCACTAAAGGAGACAAGAAGTTTATGGTATCATAGAGAGGTCCACACACGTTATTATTTATCTTATACTGGGTCTGTCTTTATATTCTGGCTGGTTGATGTGTATAAGCTTGGCTTGTGCACCAGATTCCTTTGTAAATATCATGTGAAGTTTTCCATGATGTATTAATAGGTTTTTTTTGGTTGAAAGTTGTAGACATGGGGAGTAATTAAATTGGGATATATTAATATGGCATCAATCAACTAATCCCACATCTCCTTTAGGCAACTAATATTTTCTTTTTGGGGTTCTTCTTTTGTTTGTTTTTTTTTGCATGTTTTTCACTGCATTTGCTTAAGTAAGGGGTGCTATATTTAATATATTCTGATATTTGGTTTATCTTAGATTTTTAATGCCCTTAATGTATATTGCAAATTTCTCATGAGAGTCCAGTAAAGATAATCTTGTATAACGTGTTTCTATGATAAACTTAGATGTATTGTTGATAGTGGGGTCTAGAGAGTTTACGGATACAGGTGAGTTATGCATCACCACTTTATAGATTTTAATATTTTTTGGTATGACAATAGACAAATGTAAAACGTGCTGTCTTTTTTATTAGTCCATAAACTGATTGCATTTTACAGGATTTTTATTGTAAGTTTGATGAAAAAAATAAAGGGTCCAGAAAGATCTAACTAAACATAAATATAATTTTTTTCTTAAAAAATAGTGACGGCGCCGGTTAAAGTACATAAACTGAGATTAGATGTACAATACTTAATAATCCTTCACTAATTTACAGGATCGTGGGGATATGTTTGTAAGGGACGTATGAAGACGGTGATAGTTGTGGATGAGCAGGACACACAGCATATTATACATGGAGGTATTATTGTACAGATAATTGTTATGCAATTGATGAGGTAAGCATTAATATCAATATTTTCTGTATTTCTAAAACAAAGTCGGAAGTGTTATTACTGTAATACAAAATTTCAAACATTATTTATGAGTTTTATTTAGAACATAAAATGTCGTTTAATGTAACACGATGAACCGAAATAGTAGTGGTTATTCATAGGAATTTCACGAATGAGGGTAGCTGATTGTGTTAGACCATTCCATTTCACTTCTTATCTGGAGTTCAAATATATATTTATACGTCTCGAATAATTCACTGTTTTCCTTATTTTAAAACATTAAAAAAAATATACATACTTGTTAATTACAACTTCTCTAGTTCATGTAGGCAACAAGTTTGTCCTTGGCTGTTGATATATAATGGTATATTTTACAGGACCACAACAATGTTAAGACGCCGAATGATCAATATGACGATTACCACTGGTATAGGAGAACAGACAGGGTAGGTATTAATACCAAACTTTACTTATTTCTAAATTATCCCTAAAATTTATAAATACATGTAATTCAAATTAAACTCCATGTGATATGCTTAATTACATAATATGGTGGCCATTGAATCAAATTATACATATTGACTGTTGAGACATTCCTGGAAATAGAACTTACGCCTTCAAAACTGTGACATTTCAACAACGTATCACTTGGTCATCTTAAAGTTGCAATTTCATATTTTTGAGTTATATTTTTAAAATCTATTAAAATAAAGCCTGAAAATAGTTGGTATCTATAAACAGTCCTACCTTGTTAAAGAATAATCCTATTAATTCTATAGGAGCCACGGTGGCTAGGTGGTTAAGACGCTGGCTCGCTAGCCTGGAGGTCGGGTGTTCGATCCCTGCATTGGCCGAGAAAGTTCATTTGGATTTTCCGACGTGTTTTCCCCTTATCAGAACGGAGGGCCTGACAAGGACAGCTGTCTAGTCCTTCGGATGAGACGAAAAACCGAGGTCCCGTGTATACATTAGAATGCACGTAAAAGATCCCTTGGCAGTTGGAATTCGATATAAGAGTAGGCGATAGTGCCGCTGCCCGGGCACAATTTCCCGCATAGCACACTGTATGGAGTATGCCCGTCTTCATTAGCCCAGTATAGGAGTAGGACGTTAAACCCCATTTTATTTCTATTAATCCTATAATTCACTATTGCCAGTTGAGAAATTGGCAAAATATCATTTTCATCTTCAAATTCAAACATTTGAAGATAACTACTCCATGGTGGAGAATAGAAAACAAGGGAGGTAATTGTGTTATTATTTCCGGTGTAAATGAGTTTAAAGTGTGAGAATGACACCTATGATCGTATAATAGTGAGATGACAACCTATTGAGCAAAGGACATAGAAATAATTATGTTTTGACTTTCTTAGAAAATATGAAATTGTAACTTTAAGTGTTGAATAGTGGTTCTTAGATGAATTTACTGTATCGGTTTACTTTGAACAAATCATACTTCAGCTGCAAGCTGAGATTTTCTAGTCGCAAAACAATACAGCATGAAGTTAGGAAACGTTCGTTCGTAGTTTTTGAAAACGTTTCAGATTTACTGAAATATTAATCCTGTTGTACAGATGGGCAAATTTTCAACTACGTCCTTTTTTTAAACGATATTATTCATATGGACAATTTAATTGTCATAGTTTACCTATTTTTCCAGCTGTGATTTGGATGGATGTCAAGCGGCAGTTTATGGTACCGGGAACTCGACTGGGAAATGGAAGTTGCATAGGGAAATTCTAGATTGGCAATAACAGGTTTATGTTTTTTCTGTATGTATTGTATATATTTTCTAAATTTTCATGGGTCCGTCTGATAGGTACAGTAAAGGACATTCTGTTGACTAGTTTGAAACACATCTTAAAATGGGGACCCCTTGGAAACACTGACTTTTAGTTAGGCTTGAGGTGTAAAACTACTTAAGGGACCGAGTCTATTTGTTATGTCTAGGGTAACATGTCATAACTTCAACAACAACGATCACACCGAAGATGTTTACCTCTATCGGGAGAAAACACACCGACGACCAGATGGGACGGACAGTTTCTTCATACATACAGAAAATAAACACCATAACTTCATCAACAAAGATCACACCGAATATGTTTATCTCTATCGGGAGAAAACACCGACGGTCAGATGGGACGGACAGTTTCTTCATACATACACAAAATAAACACCATAACTTCAACAACAAAGATCACACCGAATATGTTTATCTCTATCGGGAGAAAACACCGACGGTCAGATGGGACGGACAGTTTCTTCATACATACACAAAATAAACACCATAACTTCAACAAAGATCACACCGAATATGTTTGTCTCTATCGAGAGAAAACACACCGACGGTCAGATGGGACGAACAGTTTCTTCTATATCCCGAAAACACAACATAAACAGATACTTCACTAGTCTACAGACACAACATAAGTTTCTTCACTAGTCTACAGACACTACAGACACAAAAGTTTCTTCACTATTCTACATACACAAAGATTCGGGGTTCCTTGCAGCCAGGTGGCGAGACCTGTGCTTGAGGTTATTGTCTGGAGATTAGAAATGGTGGTAATGGTTGTAGGCTGCAGACGTACCATTACTTCTTAGAACATGTACACAACTACATTCAGTCCAATTTAGGACTTCCGTTCTTTTCGAATTGTGATCACCACACAATTATAAGACAGACCATAACGCAAGGGTTATGACATTGTTAATCTTAACACGATTCTGGATGAAATATATTACAAACTTCTGTCTCCTACGAAGTTTTCCGTTTTCCGTCGATTCTGGTGTGCACACCCCATTCATTGGCCTTCGACGGGGGCAGTTATCTTTGAAGACTTGAAATTGGCCACCCAGTTATCTCTAATAGTTAGTTTACTGTTATATCTTATAGCTATATAGGCAGTTCGCTTAGTTTCTCTAGAACATTACATTTGGGCTTGTTTCATCATGTAGAGTTTAAACCGATATCTTCACTAAAAGTCTATCAAATCACTTCTCTATGTAAAGGTGTGTCCAAGACTGGTTAGCAGGTGTTCCTTTACTGTAACATTTTGATTCACAAATTGATGGGGTTCGTTTGCAATTTGGATTTAACTATTGTTATATATCACCAACGGTCATCAATTTATCTAAATAAGCTTGTTATTGCCATCAATTTATCTAAATAAGCTTGTTATTTCCATCAATTTATCTAAATAAGCTTGTTATTGCCAAACTAGTATTTTTCTAATGAAGTCGTCTACAGATGTCTACTGTTATTATTGTTTATTTATATTATATTCATGATTATGTTTATTTACAATGTAAGGTCAGTAGTGAGTAAACACTTCCAGTTGATCAGAGCACTTGGGAAAATCCTACCTCCCCCTTCCTAAATGGGAGTTAGGGTTGGGTAGCCGGCTCGCAATACTGACCATTGATGTTAGAAACGCTTACAAAGATCAGAATATTTAGTTTTGGGTAACATTATACTTTATAAGTACATATGAGGTCAACATTCAAAATTTTTCATTGTCTATAATGTGTATTGTGTTTGTCGTTGGTAACTCAATCCGCCATTTTAAATAACCATTTCAAAAATACAATTTTTGTCGAGGGGTGGAGAGGTTACTTTTCCATATTTTAAATCAAATATCTTATGATACTAACTTTTTATACATTTTGGAAACATTATTTAATTTTTATGCTCCCATATTTTCAGGCCAAAGGTTAAAATTCTATTTTTCACTTTCTAAACTTGGAACATAAAACTTGATGGGTTTTTAAATGAGGTCAAATAACGATTATTTCAAACTTGGACACACCAATATGATTTTGTGTTTGGGAGGGAGGGGAGGAAAGGGATGTTATGTCAGACCCATAAGATGTTTTAATTTATATTTATATTTCACTGATATTACTCTTGGGACAATATCATCGACATATGATTTTTCTTTATTATCATAATGATTATCTTATGTTAAATTAATACACATTATAAAGGTTGTTATTTTGTACCCCCATATTAAACATTATTTATGCCTGTAGATCTGTGATGCTACATGTCAAACTTCTAAATTTTCCATTTTTTTAAACTTGGAACAAACCTTTATGGGAATTTGAACGGGGTAAAAATATTTCGAAAGTTTCGGCATACCAAAATGATGTGAGGGTGGTGGGTGGATCGTGACCGCCAGATCGTCATGCTATAGGTCAACATTCTAAATTTTCTTTTTTTTCCTAAACTTGGAACATAAACCTTTATGGGAATTAGAACGGGTCAAAATTATTTCGAAATTTTCGACATACCAACATGTAGTAGTGGGTGCGGGGTGGTTATGTTTTTAGGAGCAACCGCATTTCATAGCTTTTAAAATATTGTTTAATATGGACCAATTGATAATTTATCAGTTAAAAGAGATTATATTATTGTATTGTTTGTTAATTAATTAAATACTGATAGATGTAGTTAAAAATCATTTACAAATAAAATATTTCACCATCACTGTGGTTTGGATCTGATAGGGTGGGGGAACACTAGCCTTGTAATTTTGCTGTGAAATGTTGAACAAGCTGGCGGTAGATGAAAAACTGAGCTGCAGAATAAGCTTGTGAAATCAATGTTCAGGGAAGTGACGATTATCATGGAAGAAACATGATTCTTATTAATTTGAGATAACAATTTCACAGATAACAAGGTTTTAGTTTTGGAGTATAGCACATTTAATGTAAAGAACGAGAGTTGTTTTAACTTGGATCCTTCCAGCTGCAAAGTGTTCCATTTTAATCCACCCGAACTAGGCATATCTCTATATCGGCCCCTCAGATGCCCCTCTGCCCAATTTGTTGCACTATTTCATGGCTGTTCTGATGAAGACATTGTTACATCTATTGCACGAAAAAACGTCGGGTTAATCAACGAAAATTAATGTAAGAGAGAAGTGGGGTTTTAACGTCCACTCACACGGATCAGGTCAGTTCATGACTAACGTGGTTTTGGTTATTCTCATTTGATCATAAGGTCTGTCATTTAAGTCAACTGCTGCGGTATCGATTTCCCGCTTGTGTATGACAAGGGGTAGGTTGCCTGTCCAACCTCATGGGTTTTCTACGGGTCATCCGGTTTCCTCCCACTGCTAAAAATCCATAAGCGCAAGCGAATTATTGAAATAAAATTGAACCATGTGTTTGTCTCGAAATTACCTAGTTTGTGTCAAGTGTACTGTTAAACCCCATTTCTCTCTTCCTACTGTTAAAGACCCTATGTGAACGCTCTAATGACAAAACTTATCATCCGATCTGTATGAAATTTTTATGCATTATTTAATTTAGTGAAATGAAGAATCCTATTGAATTTCAGCAATTTCTGTTAATTATGTCTAAGAGTTATGGCCCTTGATCACTTTGAAATATCTTGTGGATGCTCTAGACGAAGAAACCTATTGCTTTTCAATGATTTCGATAATTACTGCCAGAGTTATGGCCCTTGATCACTTTGAAAAATCGTGTGGATACTTTAGAGACCATAGTTATCATAATATATATATATATATATATATATATATATATATATATATATATATATATATATATATATATATAAATTGTTTCGATTGATCCACAGAGTTTAAGGTCTTGAGACGAACAAGTATATTGATTTTCAATGATTTTTGGTAACTTGAACAGCTAAATCCATGGTATTAAATGTTTTGTATACTAAATGTTAGCATGGGTCAAACAAATTCTAATGATTTACTTAATGAGTTAATTGTTACTCAGATTTTAGTGTATTATAAATGTTTCATTACCAACAAAAGTAAAAATATGCGACAACTTATGTTGACTGCCCGGACGATTTAGATGCTGTGGCCGTATGTTTTGTTGCCTGGCAACCTACCTAGGCCTATATTACCTCTTTCCTATATGACAGAAAATATATACAAAAAGACTATATAACCATGTTATGATAAAATCAATCTAAATAGTATAAGAATAAAATGAACAAAAAAAGGTTTGCCATATTCATATATTTAGCTACTGGATTCATTTTTATTTAAACCTTCCGGAGGTGTCTAGAAATCTATGGACTTGTTCAAAGATAATACTTGAAATAATAATATCGTCAGTGCCTTTTAATAATGTCTGTATTGAAATCACGTTTTGGGGTAAGGTAAAAATTGAATGTTTACGTGCATCGCGATGTAGAGGACAGGTTTTAACCACGAGAGCACCATGCAGAAATTGAAAAAAACGATAACCCGGGGGTTCAGCAAATTTCAACCATACTTGGTCTATGGGGACCCCTAGACGACAGAAGTCACATGATGGAGTGAAAAAATTTTGAACTGACAACTTCCGGTATAACTGGAAATTGTTGTTTTGGGGCAAAAGTTGACACATTTCGACCAATTTGTTACCCTTATTTCAAAACGCTCCTACCCGAAAAGTTGTGTCTCTAAATTTTTGATATTGGTCAGGTTTGATAGGCCTAGTAGTCGTCTTAAAATCCTGCAGTCGTTTGGGAATGAATGAATCATGTGGAATTTTCTGTGAGTGATCATAAAGTGGTCATTTTACATATGTTTAAAACTATGCTATCCTAAAACGCATGTAGCTGCTTCTTTGCAGGTCTGACATAGAATTGCTTGGTGTGGTTGTGAAGGGCATTTCTCAAAGTAAATGTCAAAATAAAAAAACTGACCGGAACGCAACCCACTAGAGTGCTGTAATATTCTGAAAATGTGTAAAAACGGTATTTTCCATGAAATTCGTCTTTTCACTAATGACCGAATACTATTTTCAAGAGTTCAAATGACCGTTGATTATGAACATTAGTACTATTTTTTGTTACTTGAACGTTCCTTGTGCCAAATATACTATCTTGGTTAAAAATCATGAAGTTTTTGTGACAAAATCGGACGTTCGCGGTCATCGTAGGAAAGGGGCTTAATTGGTGTATAATTTTGCAGGATCAGGCAACGATTATTCTCACCTGTATTCAGTAGTTAGTAGCACGGAAGTGCATAAATGTAAGGACTGACATAGCAAGCTTTTATATTAGCACAATTTAACCTAAGCAGCACCTTTTCAGCAATGACCAACGATTATCTTCAAATGACTACTGATCATCACCATTACTTGTAATATTTCGTAATTTCAACGTGAATCGTGTCAAATAGATCATTTTGTTTAAAATCATAATATTTTTGTGACAAAATCTGACTTTCACGCTTGCTTGATAGCCATAGGGAAGGGTCATAAGTGGTGTGTAATTTTGCAGGGATCAGACCACTGTTATTAAGATCTGTATTCATGAGCAGATCATCGTATAAATTTGACTGACATGACTATCATAAACATGATATCTTTTAATTTGTACACCTGCTCATGTAAAGAAGAACCATAAGAAGAAACATTCAGAAGTGTTCATGTAGGTACATTTAATGTCTGGTATTGAAATCTCTGAATCATGGCATAGATCAAAACAGGATTTATGGCACTCCAGGATAATATTGACAGCATGTGCCAAACTCCTACATATACCTACGTTTGAGCAGAAGTGCTCACTTACTTAGATTCCTACGTTCGAGTGTAAATGCTCTCTGACCTTCCTTCAAGGTTTTTGGACCACAGAGTACTGTTTTATTTTGTAGTACTGTTTTTGACCTCTTCTCCTTCAGGGATTTCAATATGGAATTATCATAGCCTCCCGATCTGAAAATGCCTCTCCATGAAAACGTCCAAATGTTTCCATACAATGATCGGCTCCTAAATACAGATGGGAATAAGCTGGTCTGATTCCTAAAATATGTTTGACCAAAATAACCTATTTGGCACAAGGAACATTGGCAGAAAAGGTGTTGTATGGTCGTCTTGCTGATTGTGTGACTACGACTTACTGTCACTGGATCATCTACAATCCCCTCGTCCTTAAAACCTGTTACAAGTACATCCCTCATAAACACTTCTTTTACCCAAGAGCTAAAATATGCTTACACTGAATCGTGTATCATATTTCACCTTTCATTATATCATATTTATAGAAGACGATTTGTTCTGTTTAAATTGCATTGGACATTCATGAAACTTGTCGTTGGTCTAACACATAGACTTTAGATCCTAAGGTCTGTCATTGAGTTACGTGGTGTGACAGCATGCCGGTGACATGGTGTGGTGTTGTTTGTTCAACCTCATGGATATTCTCTTTTCCCACAAGTGTATTATTGAAGTAAAATTGTACCATATGTTAGTCCCAAAATGACCTAGTTTGTGTTGAGTGGACCTTAAACTCCATTTCTCTCTCTTAAGTCAAAATCACCCTTGCTAACGAATATATTAAAGTTGTGATGATGTCCATAGATACAGTATGCATCACCATATTATGCTAGTCCCAAAATGACCTAGTTTGTGTCCAGTGGACTTTAAATCTCATTTTACTTTGTTCCTCTCATGTGTAAATCATCCTTGCTAACGACTAAATGGAATATATTAAATTTGTAAAGATGTCCATACATATACTTCATCTGGGGTATTGATAGACGGGACATTTTATCCTAATTTTTGGTGTTTTTAATATATTTCTCCTGTTTTTATTATGACTGTTCCGGTCATTTTTATTTTTTATTTTGTTAGTAGGAAGGTTGCTAGTTGTGGGTAACATTCAACTTCGGTCCTAGTCCCTGCAAAGAACGAGCTATAGTCTCTTAAACATTGGTTTTCATTAAATTCAATTTTCAGAGAGAGTTGGGTATCCGGCCAGTACCAAGGTAGCATTAGCAGTAGAAACTTCAAAATCAGTGTGAAGGAGGAACCTGAGTGGTCCTACTAATGCCCATGGTCACACTGCTAATGTAATCTTAGATATTGTGTCACACTTCAATGCATCTTTAAACTGTCCTATTTTGTACTCATATCCAATGAGTTCGAGTTCACTCATCATCTCACTAGTGTTCTGAATCTGAATCTGAAGGGTTACGTGGAAGCGACCAAATCTGGCTTTCATTCAACGGGGGAGGAGTGCGCTATTAGATGTCACTCGTAGCCACTAGTGTCTTGAAGCGCTTGATGGTATCTGCTTTCACAACACTATCGCTAAGTCTATTTCACTCTAACAGAGTTCTTGGGAAGAATGAATGTTTGTAATTGACACTTTTAGTTGGAATAATGTCGAAACACTTGCTATTGTTGTTAACTGAATTTAGTACAATGTTATTATGTGTAAAGTCTTCAAATTTTTTAGCTCTGATAGAAGGTTTCTTTGTTCTTGTAGTATATCAGCTTGGCCAGTTCTAATTAGAATCTTGTAGTGTGTGGTTGGATACTTCATAAGTTTTATATTTAAAGTCAATTTTTAGTAAATCTATTGTTTTCTTTCATCAACTGGGTGTGTGCTAGTATTTGTATTGTATCAGCCAAAGATTTAAAACTTCCAGTTTAAAGGTATATGTTGCTATTAGTTTTAATTGTATATTACATTGTTTAAATGTTTTTTTATTTAAAGTGGAA